AGGACATGATCGAGTGGAGCGAGAACTTCCTGCGACTACAGCGCTCCGTCCTTCCACCTGCCGACTACTTAGCCTCATGGTGGGTCAGCACACTGGTTAAACCACACACGCAAGCTTCTGCGCGTTTTAGTTGAATGACATATTTTTCGAGCTAAAATCTGGCTAACCGTTCTTCGTGTGCTTGTGGCATATATGATTAGGCTCAGGCACTGCCGCATACGAGATGAAATAGAAACGCTCGGTGGCGATCTCACCGATCTCTCCAGAATGGTTGTGGTGAGGTTGTGGTTTTACTGCAGAGGCGTGATCATGTCTGGTAGAGTGCCGTTCCTATAATCGAACAACATTGTAGCCAAACTTCGAGCAGCACCAACTACCCTCAACGCGTGTTCTTTCGTTCTTCTGCAGCCAAACATGCGGCTGGATGGCGTCGTCGAATTTCTTACTGAGACGGCACTCCAGCACAAAGAGCTGCACCGGCTGGCCAATAAAAAGAATTGATGCACACTAGCTGCTAGTCTGAAGTTTCTGAAAAAATTCCCCCAACGTCACCAATTTCTTGGGGTCTCCAGATGCCGGTTTGCATGCAAGCCTATAACGGTGTACACGGCTAAAGGAATGGCCGATACAGTGGAAGTGGAGGGTATCATTTACGGGGATTTCGAGAGGCAGACCCTACCAGGCATTCGACAATTTTTAGCAGCTCACTTTGTAGCGGTGTTGTTAGCACTTACTCCTAGCTAATATTTGCATACCCTTTCATGCGCTGCACAACAGATGGACCTGCATCTGAAAGACGCATGCAGACCTCGAGTCCCTACGCGAGCCGCATAGCCCTAAGATGAATAGTTGCCGCAAAAGGAGGCGAAGGAGCTCAAAAATAAAAACTAGACTGAATTACATGATTTCACGAGCATTGCATTATGCATTCCCTCCCTCCTACTACCCGTCTGAAGGAACTCCTTGTCACCCTCAGCCCATAGTGTCGTGCGAAGTTAGCCTATCGTAACCTAGCATCATCACTTCGTCTTCTCCTCCTCGCTTATGTTTGCGGGCTGCTAGTTTGAATCTCCCAGATGCTCAGAGGCTCACTATCCACAAAACAACCCTGTATTTATCCAAAATTCGAACTGTGCTAGGCTATCTTTCGGCAGACAATATCGCAGGTGAAGAGAACTTCCAATCTTCAACCTTGCACATTGGCCACATTCTTCCCTCCGCAGGCGTTCCAGCATTGCCCAGAACAATTTCGGTTGTACATACACAACACGGTGTCGTACAAGTCCAGTCTTTAGTGAAAGTCTGCCTTGCGTTGTGGTTGGCAACGAATGCGTACTGTTCAGTTGGCAGCACCGTTCCCCTCCACTTTCTACCAACAGTGGGGGATGGTATGTACTAGACTCACCCTCACGTAACCATTTCCTACCTGCATAAGATGACGCGTTCAATACTTCAGCCTTGGCCACAGGTGGGCTTTGCTCGCAGTAGAGTCCGAAGCAGCAGGGACTATACATACAAGTTAAAAACCTGTGCAGTGCTTTGACTGCATAGTTGGCCGTCATTTCATCACATTCGTAATGATTCTTAAGCATCCTCTGATAAATTGACGTGGCAAGGGACCCAGTCTACATTGCCCGCGCCCAAAACACTATTTCGTTTTGACCTTTTAACCTGGCGCTTCACTCTGCAGGGAAACGTCCCTGCTACGCCAGTACAGGCAGTACTACTACTGCTGTGTCTGACTCTATCTCCGTAACCAGCCGGCTACTGTCGTTGACTGAACGGTGATTTCTGTGACCCATCAAGCTGCCTAAAAAGGTCAACACATCGAACAAAGCCGGGAGGCAAACAGAGGCTGTTTCCTGCCGATGATGGTGAGGGCCCATCAATCAGCGTCTTACATCCCATACAAGACATTTTATCCGCTCTTCCAGCCCCTTTCCTCTTCGATTGTTCGAAGGCTACATGTTGTAGCTTGGCTGCGGTTTCTGTTGACTCGTGACAATGCTGTATGGTAGCGTCAAGTGGCTCAGCATTTCGGTCGCGAAGGCGTCGAAACAATTTGAGGAAAACTTCCCGGGGCAGCGGCATCGCGCCTAGAGATGCTTTGTAAGGTAAATTCATTCCTAAATCCAAAAGCTCATGCCCTGCAAACTCACCACACTCACACGGTAGACGAGGCAACGGCAAAGCTGCTGCACAGGTCTTCGGTCACACAGTCACCCATCATTACTCGGCACAAAGTGGCATATTCCCTGGGAGCCCACTGTTAAGTTTCACGTACCAGCTTTACGGAGGAGCAGCCTGGTGGCTGTGAGCTGCGCAGTCCCAGCTGAGTCTGCATCCGTGAAGGCTGTTAGGCTGGTGTACACTCTGCCGACAGATACGCCGACTTCTCCTGCAACAAGACAAAGGTCCTTGTATTGTGTGCTCGCTTCTCCAATACGAGGAGACGCGCCAAGAGAGGCCAAAGCCTCTGACAAAGTCATTGCAGGTGCATCGCTTCCCTGGGTGGCTTCAGTTGAGCACCCTGTCCCTGCCGTAGAGCTCTTCAGTGGCAAAAACTTGGTAGTCGCGATTTCGCACAGAGGCACCCAAACTTCAAAACTGTGTAGGTGCACATCTTCAGGACAGAGGCGTCCGCTACTTGTTTGTTGCACAGTCTGGTGTACGTTGGGATGGGTAGGAGCTTGGACCTCAGTAGATTCTTCAGGCGACTCGCCCCGCTGGCGCCGCAATGCAGCATCGCGCAACGTTCGCCGGTGCAAAGCTCTGAGACACTGTGGCGGTACCGACCCCACATCACACGCAGTAGCCCAACCGTGAAAACCCATTGCCCTTTTCCAGAAACCAGATAGTCACTCTAGTTGCTTTCACCTGCTCCTAATTATTCCTGACATAGCGACACCAGCAATGTTATACTTGTGGGTACTTTTCAATGGCTGTGAAGAAGTAACGGAGACAGCTAAAATCGCCTGGTGGGTACAGTCAGTTGAACCCAGTGGTCGCACCTGCCGTACGGGCTTCCACAGCCAATTTTCGCCGTGGCGCCTCACACATCCGGCCAAAACCTGCACCCAACATCGGCGCAGCAAATGTGCCCTCTCGATGAGCGCACACTTCCTAGCGATGCGCTGCTGAAGGAGGGCATCGCCTGCTGCCAAAAAGCAGTTGTGGCAGAACAGTGCGCAAAGGACAACCAACCTCGTCAAAAGCCCTGTCTACGGAGAAAAGGAAAGGCCGAGCCTTTCGCCGCAGGTTCTTCGAGGCCAGAATAGTGCCTTCATCCTTCTTCAAGAAGAGGCACATCCGTTCTACGTGCAATTTCGGGAGTAACAGTGTTGTGCTCAATTGGAGAGATGTTGGGCCTGTAAAGTAAATCCACAGGAGCAACCGGGACAAAAATGTGACGCTGTGAGTCAGCAAACGTTGATCCGAGCCTCCGCATCCCAGGTCAAGAAGATGTATGAGCAGCTATATGCCTAGCCGCTGGAACTTTGCAGGGGACCGTCGTCGCGGAAGGAGGCAACCAACAAAACATGGACAAATCTCACTACTAATAGTTACGCATTTGCATCCTATAATGCTGTTTGCATGTGTGTATATGTATTTGTTGGAGAGAAAGGGGGGTTGCTGACCACGTGAATATACGAAGCGCTCTGCAATTGGCAAAAAGCCGGCGCGGCAAAGTCTGGCGTAACCGCATGGAGATGACTCCTTAGCCCACGTATATGAACCTGAGGAATAAAAACGCCATGCACACTGTGTAGGCGCCAGATAGTTAGAAGGACACTCTCTATTCCATCAAGTCGCATAAAATGTCGAATTGACAGTTCGCGGGCTCTAATGGGGCCCCGATGTGCTGTGAACTACCGCGTATTGCTAGCACCTGTAGGGCCAATTCCTCGTATCACAATACCAATGGCGGATGTATTTCAATGCCGGATGTATTTGTTGACAACATACTTGCCTTGGTAACCACTGGCTGTGATGGCATCCGCAAGCCTTTCTTCGTCCGTTCGTTCGTCAACTATGGGGAGGTAAGATAAAAAAGGATGGCATTGTACCAAGGAGTCAAGATGACTCGCTGGAGCGGCAGAGCAGCTGCAGGAGCAGCACAAGGAACATCTGCAAGCGTGGTGCTGGCGAGCAACTCCTCCACAAACATTCAGAGCACAAGTAGAGCAAGAGCCCGTGGAGGACCCCGGAGGTGAGGAGAAGTCAGGAGGTGAGGGCCGGCTGGCGAGGGGGATATGAGAATCCTCTGACACTTCACTATAGTTACAATAACTTTGGGTAGAATGTCCCTTGGGCAGACTCGCTTCTGAAGTGGAAGAGCCACAGCAGCGATCGCGGGAGGGTGGCTTCGTTTCGTGGCAGGGGCAGCAGCAGCAGCAGCAGCACCCTTTAGTCATGGCCTCCGATATAGTAGTGGATGCGCACAATGCCATTTGCAGGGTAAGGAGGCAACCCTACAGCCGATCTCTGCCAAAAAAAGGCTTGCTTGCCGCGTCAATTTACCCTATTTGATGGGGACGTGGAAGCCCCCTTTTATTCGGTTTTCAAGGCAGGCCTGGAGCCCTTAGCAGATGACAAGACTAAACTTCAAACAAAATCGAAGGCTTCTTGTAAGTTACACAATGGAAATGGGCCCTAGCAATCCGGTCATCGGCCACAGCCCCGTGGCATTTTCATCGATGGCGCTGAGCGGCCTGAAAATTCCTGAGGAACGCAGCATTCATAATGAACCCTAGTGGAAGCTTCTCCTTTACCAGTTAATAAGCTGAGAAGTGGCAAACATCCATAGTACACCATTGTGGCCTCTAAGTTTGGAACGGATGTGGTGTGGTTGCCGGACTGTGCCGTGGCTTCAGCTACTTAAGAAATGTCATTTGGTGTCGTGCTGTGCAAATTGTAAACTATGAATTGTGTAAACTCTGAACAAACGCACATAACCATAGTAACCATTTATTTTGCGCAAAAACGTAGGTGACCACGCCGAACACGTGGATGGCGCGCTTGTTTTGAATTGGAATTGAAACAGTAGTATGCATCACCCGTCTTCCGAGCTGCATTCTGCCAAGCACGCAGGTGACCACCCTCGTGATGGCTGAAACCATTCTCCGAGCTGATGTCTTCCTAGTCATAGCATAACGGTTGCTGCATCAATCTTGGTTGTGGGAGTGGACGTGGTACGTTGGTGAACGCTGGGGAACGTTTCGTTTACTCCTTGATGGACTAGAGAACTCATGCATCGGTAAAACCTTTTGGCTGCTAAATTGAGGTCTAGCCCGAATTCCTGGTTTTGTGCACAACGATGGGCTGCCCACTGACAGTTCTCAGATAGCCAGCACGAAGGACCCGATGTGCTGCTAACTGTTTCTGAGGTTCATCTAGCATAGATGTGCCAGAATTTAGCAGACGAGCACTTATTCAGCCTTATTAGCCAGTCTACAGGCACGTAGGACGCCATCAAGCGAGCAAAAGTATTCAATAGTCGTCCACAATGTTTTTGTATGGGATCCCGGATGGCGTTATTGCCCGTGCACGTGGGGTTGTCTTGCCGTCCAGGCTACAGCAAGGTGCATAGCAACTCATGACATGTCGCTTTCTCTCCCACAACGTGCCACATTCGTATTAGTCTCTCCCTTACCGATATGTCACTATGCCTAGTAGTACGCATATAGTATATTGCTATGCCTAGCAGCACTACGCATACACTCCGTCGTCACATGCATCCCCCTTACAGCTGCAAATGCTTGTTGCCTACACTACCTCATCGCGATTTTGTCGGCGCCGGTGTCAGCATCGAACGTAGCTGTGTATGCGAATTCGAAGATGGCTGCCGGCAGTGGCACTTGTAGACTACAGGGAGAGCCCCTAGATATCGGTAATTCTCTCACGTCGGTTCGTTGCCACTAGCTGCGGCTCCCCGTGGCTCCTGTGAATAGCGATATATGCTTGTATCCTATGGAACAAACAAAACTGTTCGCAGGTCATTGAACTGCTTCCTGTCCAAATCATGTACGATGAACAGCCAAATTCCCTCGCAATAATTCCGAAAAAGCCAATTTCTTCTGCGCGATCCGCAGAAATTGGCAGAATGATGGGTGGCTTGGCCACTGCCGTGAGTTACTCCGATCCACCGAGCCGCTCAAACTCCATACCAGCAGCTTCAGCAAAGAGAGAGCACCGTCCATGGGAGCATATACGCTCAGTATAAAGCTAACAATTTCGCACGGTAACGTCCCCCGTCAGAAGTGGGGGCTGAAAAGCGATTAACCACACTGACGTTTCATTTGCGCCGATTAGATCAGGTTTTATTTCCTCGCAGGCGATGAAGTTCTCTGTGCTGCAGTGCTGTATCTGTAAGGAATTCAACCGTGCCTTCCAATCTCATATTTGGCTGCATAAACCAGTAAGCAAGCAACATCCACAGTATACCATTTGGGCTCCTTAGCACGCCTCAAATATGGCACTTACAAGACTCGCTCTACGTGGTACAGATTTCTGATACGCCTAATTTAATGCTTACGAGGACCATCTGTGACAAGTCCGAGAAATCCCCTGCAAGTGACTCCATCTCGTCTCGCAAGCGGCAGTGCCTGAGCCTAGACATTCACGCAAGACACGCGCAGAGCGCAGCGCGAGCTAGATGTTACCTTACCAGTGTAACGAGCCCTTCACCCAACCAAAATATTGGCAGCACTGTGCCTGTTTTCCTCAACCAATATGCTGACCCACCATGAGGCTAAGTAGTCGGCAGGTGGAAGGACGGAGCGCTGTAGTCGCAGGAAGTTCTCGCTCCACTCGATCATGTCCAACTGCCTTTGCAGCTCGAACTGCTGAGACAAAACGATGCCCATTTTATCCTCCGTGCACCCCTGAATACTCAACATGCTTGCAACACTGCTTATGAAGTCTGCAGAATGGCTGTGGAGTAAATACGAAAACCTCTGGCCTTCAGAAAATTCCTCAGCAGGATCGCTTTTCACTAGCCACACACGCGCGACCCTCTGACCACTCTTACCTTTAGCTGGTTCATCGACTCCTCCAATATAGAGTAACATCTCTGTTCGACGGAACGGCAGTTGCAGCGGGCTCCACTGCGGACAAATGACAAGCATCGTCATGAACCTTCAGTGTCCACAAGGGACAAAGAAATCCAGTGACAACCCCAAGAATAAACAAGCCGTGAAGTACTCGATAAGACTCTGAAGGGCTTCCAGTTTCTGTGTAAGCTCCGTTCTGCGCTTCTCTAGTATGAGATGGGGTTGGCGGCCTTTCTCCAAAGTCCCAGAGTATGCCAGTGACAGTGGTATCAAGGTGCAACCTCCTGTAAACAGTCAATCGGCAACGGTAACAGAATGCCGCCTTTTTCCTTCAACACGTGGGAGAGCGGTTTCACGAAAACGGAAAAGGTCCCGAAAACCATCTTCCAAAGTAAACTAACCTGGAGAACTCCTACTCGTTGCCCTACCCGTCGCATCTGCATGAAAGTGGTTAGGCCGGCACATGCGGCAAACAGGTGTATGACACAATGTGCAAAACGCCTCATATTCTTCCCCTGTGTGCTGCTTGCAGCGTCCACTTGGTTTGGGCATCTACGCAAGTAAGAAGGCAAAACACCGCAGCAGCCAAAAGTACGCTTCCTGACGAACATGGCTTCGGGCACCAGGAAGAATCACCCCTTCAGGCGGCACTAGTGTCCAGTGTCCGCACCTCGTTCAATGGAACTCTGATGTGCCTTGACACCAGCTTGTTGTAGGAATGGAGGCGTTCGTCGCACGCTTCGCACAGCCTGAAAAGCCAAACGCAGTACATGGGGGATGGAATGGTGCCGACAAGCAACCAAGTTGTTCTCAAGGATTGATGAGAGAACCGTTACATACTTAGCCATGTCTGCAGGGCACCAAATTGCAGCTGGTGAATCCTGGCAAGTGTCGCAGAGTGGTACGGCAAATAGCTCAGGCTCTGTGGGGTCCACTTCGAAGAGCACCAAATAGTTTGGCACCACCTGAAGTTCGCGCGATACAATACGCATGACAAATCATATTGCAGCGTTAAGGCTCCAAGTTGTTGCCAGTCCGCCAACTGAGCTCGTAGCCATAAGCCACCAACCTAGAGCATTAAATTCCTACCATAGACAATATTCAGCGTCTCACCCTAATCTCACCTGTGATGAATCGTAAACGACGTATTCCTGACGGAAAGTGTGTCGAGGCAGGACGCCCGCTGTGGCCATGGAAAGTCCTCTATTTGCCTGTCGGATGGCTTCTGCCTTCCTGATGCAGGACGACCCCTTGGACTGTTCAGGATCGTCAAAGAAAACTGTAAGCGTCTCTGTTGGAGCTGCCGCCCCATTCTGCAGATATGCACTATCATATTCTGGAGGCAGCGTTGTCCGTTCACCCGAGGCTTCTCTTTCGTCAGACATGACAACCGAGTGCCCCACTCCTGCAGAGAGGACGCCAAAGCGCTGTTCCACTCACGCATGGCCTTTCCAGTTTTGTGTATCCACGCACGCCCTGGCTCCCTTCTGAACTGGTGAACTACCCTTAGAGGCGATTCGCTGAAGAGGATGGCTTGAGGCAGGACAGTAGCCGTCGTTACAAACAGTGTCTCACGAACAGCATTCGTGTCGGCAGCCTCTTACCAACTTTACAAAGGAAATATTCGTAGATGCGCCGTTCTCCACTGAGAAGCTGTGTCTTCGCTGCTTCCACAAAGTCGGACAAACCGTGCTTCTGTCGCTCTTCGGCGCTGGAGGTCATTTCCGCTGCAGAAGGGCAGCAAATTGCACACGTTTGAACTGCTTTTAGAAACGACTTGTTGTAATTCTTAGAGGGCAGTAGAAGTCTTCCATGAGGGTAGATAGAGACAACTATACTGTCACTAGCATCTTGATGACGAGAGCATGCCCGTGTAGCATAAGCACATCGCCGTGTCTGTGCATCTGCAGCCCACATGAAGGAAGCGTGAAAGGATCCGGTG